ACGCACTCGTGTGTCGTCGCCGCCATCTTCCACAGGTCCGTCTTTAGAGCAAATATTGAGGCTACTACCTTGTCTGGCCACTCAGCCATTGACGTCACCATGACACCAGACAACTTCGTCCTCCTGCGCGAGTCCATCGTCACACATCGAACGCCGAATCTCCACTGCGCCACGCCGCCGAGATACGCCACCATCAATAAGTAGGATGAAGCACCGCTCCGCCGAGTCCGACAGGGCTACTGAAGACCAAGCACCGTGGAAGAAGGACTCCGAGGCTGAGCACATAGGCGGCAGAGCGCCAACGCACTGCCACCAGACGAACTCCGACCACGCCACCAACCGCCGCCAAGCAACCAAAGCATCACATCCACCCCAAGCTCACCACGAACGACACCCCGAAGAGGGTGAAGACGCTCGGAGCGCCGCTGTCGCTCGATCCGGCAAGGATTTGGGATTTCGCCCAGCATACGAGCTGGGTGGAAGGAAGAGGGGAAGGAGGCAACCTGGACGGCGCCTTCAAGAAGGTTACGGCGCCCTCGGGCGTCGCCGCCGTCGTGGCCAGCACTGTTGGCCTCGGATTTCTCCGGAGCCACCTCCCACCTCCAGCCGCCAAACAGGTACAACTCCGGTGACAAAGGCCGCCCAAAGCAGGACCATCGGAGGCAGCCCTGGTTGAAGTAGACAGAGGCCTTCAGATCTGGATCGGGCGCCGCCGACCATGCCGGAGCCCGGACCAAGGCCACCGCCCCGGCGTCCCATCCGCCGCCCGCAGCCGACGCAGCCAGCACCATGGTGACGGAGATCCAGGAGGCAGGAGGGGGGACCTCAACCCCGCCCAAACTCGTCGGGTTCTCGCGGCCTCCACCCGCCAGAGGCGCAACCTCAGATCCGTCACACGCCGCCTGCACCGCGCCACAGGGAGCCGAGCCTCCCCCACCGCGATTCCCAACCCAGCGTCCGATCTACGCCACTGGAAACCGAACGCGCCCGCGCCGCGCCTTGCGCGCCCTCGCCACGCCGTCCCGAACACGGCAACCCTCGCCGGTGCGCGCACCCACGCGAGCGTCGCGCCGAGTCCCCGCCCGAACGAGCGGCCCGCGCCGCCCCTACTCGAACTGGAGGAGGGAAGGGCCCCGCCGCCGCCAAGCCGCGCGGGCTTCGCCCGGCGACGTCCGCCGGCGGCGGCGAGGGGAGGAGGGGCCTGCGCTGGCGGCGGCTAGGGTTCGCTCCCGGGCCGCCCGCGGGAGCGACCTGGGGAGCGACCCAACAAAATTGAAACATGCAATATTTTGCCAATTACAACTTACACCATGTAGAGTATATGATATCTATATCATGCAAATAAGGTAATTGTTGTCTGCAGTATTCTTTTATGGCACCCTTATGGATACCATTTTCTTTTGAAAAGGGGAGATTCTGGGGACAAACGTTTTAGCTCTGGGTAGCATTTCCTCTCAAATGAACAGTAAGTTCAAAACAAATAGCAATCCTTTTCAGAAAATAACTAAAATAATTTTGCTGGTGGAAAAACAAAATCTTCACGCCTAACAGGATACAATGCTTCGTCAGTGGAAAAGCAAAATTACGTGTAACATTTGTTATTCGACTTTTTTTTGCATGGGACAAAATGCTAAAGCTTTGCACTTTCAAATTTGCAGGTAGCATTTTATGTGACCTTCAGCATATCTATTTTTTTGGACCATGTGCTTCTGGGAGGCGAATTGGATTTCTGATGACATGGCATTTGCATCATTGTGATGACACAACCAATTTTACTAGAATAAGCAAACGTACGTGCCAGTCTCAACATAGTAAAAAATAAATTCATGACCGCCGTGCCGACGACGCCGTTCCCTTCCTTCGAGACGTCCGTATGGACTGATCTCCTCACTTCACCTTCCATAGGTCTTCCGGGCGAAAGCCCTAACTTTATTGGGCAGCGGCGGTGCTCACGGCGCCGTTCCCTTCTTGAAGGCGCCGCTTTGGAAACCTTAGGGTTGGGTGGCGCTTGTGGGTGGTGGGCGATGGCGGTGGTACGGCCCTATCCTAGCATGGATTTACGTCCGTTGCTTGGAGATGGAATCGCGTAGGTGAAGGTCGTCGGCTGGCGTCATGGTGGCGTCAATGACGGAGGACTGGCCAAGGCCCGCGTAGGTGGAGGTCGTCGTTTGGGGTCGTGGTGGCATCTATGGCGGAGGACCTGCCAAGGTTGTCACCTTAATCTGCTCTAAAGATGGACCAACGAAAGACAACGACAACAACACATGTGAGTGCGTCGGACCGGTTTAAGCCCGGGACCTGGCAGATGGCTCGGTCGGGGTCTCCGGCTTTAGATGTTAGGCTTAGATGAAAGGTCTTCGCATGTGACCTAGCTTGTATTTCTTCATCATTTGGATAGAAGTAGTGGCAGATGTTGCCAAGATAGCGGATTCAGGCATATTGTTGTTCTACTTTATAAGGTCCTCAAGAATAATTAATAAAATGGCCGCGTACATCTTCCAAATGCAGAGGCCAGGGGTCATCATTCTTTTCCAAAAAAAATGATAACCAGATTACATGACTTGACACATAACCTATTATTTATACGTCAACCAACCCGGCTTAATAATTTACGTGCTATTGTCGCCAAACGGTTGGATCCAAATTGCATATGCTTCTAAACGTCCACACTGTAAAGTAATGACCACATACGCATCCACTAGCCTTGAAGATAACCCGTAAATCTTTTAGAGCATTTAATCTGATTAAAAACACATAAATTCACGGGGGCACGTAGGGTGCACGCACACACTTCATGGGCGGCATACGTGTGCCCCGATTCGAAAAGTTAGTTTTGTACATTCCGCACCAACTCCCCGTTCATCTTTAGTTTTATACAACGAAACTTAACAACTTATGAATAAATCAACTACAATCACCTTTGTAAGTTCGGCTACAGAAAACTTAAAGCCAACATGAAAATGTGGGGTATGTATGAAACCAAGTTTTGAATCGCGGCGCGGATGTACGACCCACAAACTGCATTCATGCGCCCATGCATGCTCCAAATGTACTCTGCATAACGATATGCAATTTATGAGGCGTCTTTGTATAAACTCGACATTTTGTGGAAAAGTATATGTGGATTGTAGGGGTATATTTGCAACAATAAAAATATCGTCTGTAAGCCGACTATGAAGGCTTTATAGATTGCCTAGTCATGTTTCACGGTATTTTCTATATCTAAATAGTTTACTCCCACTAACATATTTCTCTCAACATGCAAGTATGTCACCTCACTAAGCAACATGCATGTAAAAAGATCCACTTGAAAATACAATCATATATAGAAAAAGACACACCTCAACATGCAAACGTGCATTTGAATTTGCATTCTATTATGCTATTTATATCTAATCAATATTTTACAACTATACAATAATCAAACACACCTAAACATGCATAAGATTTTTTCATTATATTATCCCATTTATATTTAATATATATTTTACAACTATATAATAATCAGACGCAATAAAGCATATGTATTTTCAATTTTAGTTACCATATTGTTGATCCAAATATTCATGTATCAAACAATCAAAATCTCATTAAAATACATTACAAACCGCAACAACGTACGTGGTATCATTTAGTACTATATCTAAAGCTTGCCACCTACACAAAAATATGACGTGACGGCTTATTTAACGAGGAAAGATAGTTTTATTGTACCTTAATCTAGATATAGATCTTAGCATGGGAAATAAGACAACTTTCTCTCACAAAATATATTTTTTGTTTGCAGGAAAAACTTAAAATTTATTCATCATTGTCAGGGTGGTACAACGAACACCCGATGTAAAAAAGTACATATGGTCCGTCAACCATCCAGCGACGACTATGAACACTGAACACTTGACCGGAGTCGAAGATATAACCCATTGTAAAAAAAGAAATCTAAATACATATTTATTTTATATGATATAGCTTAAGATATCATGTACGTACTCCATTGGAAATGCCCTGAGAAAACACATTTTCTATTCCGAAAGTGGGCTCCGCGCATCCGTGGAGAAGAAAAAACAAACCCACATTTCTCCGTCCCTCTCTTGGTCCTTTTGTCGCCTCTATGGAAAAATCTTAGCGGACGGGTAGGCATCATAACACGTACGGCGGCACCCGTCACGCGGTCATGGAGTGAGGAGAAGTCTGGGAATTCGCTTGGAGGCAGCTGTTGCGTTGAGTAGTGCCCGAAGAGGGAAGCTTAGCCGTTAAGAGATGGAGCGGGTGAAGGCATCGGCAACTGGCGCGTTGCCATCACCCGCGTGCCGGATGGGCTCGGTCCGTTAGCATTTATGTATGATTGCCTTGTTTCCCGCCTCTCTCTTTTCTCTCCGGTGGACTCGTTCCGCCACCTAGGCTGCTACGCCAAGCTACTTCGCGCGCCATGTGGGATGTCTGACGCATATGACTGGTCCAGGCTGTCCGGAAAACGGAAAATCCGTGGCTGCAGACGGTGAGCTGGCAAGCCAGGTGCACCCAACACGTCCTCCCCCAGTTAGCTAGCTAATCCATTTTGGGGCTAGCCACGAGTCTTCGGCCAATTAATCAACGCGCTGCGTGCGTACGAGTAGTGCTAGTAGTAGTACTATATAAGATCGGGAGTACCTACAACTCATCTAGATGAGATATAATTTGGTCTCATTCATCTAGAAAATAAGAACAGATACAACCCACATTAGCACACACGCATCTTATAGCATCACATCCAATGGCTATAAAAGATGAATGGAACCAAATTATGTCTCATCTAGATGAGTTCTAGTAAAACTATATAAGATCTGCCCACTCCTGCATCATCTACAAAATCTTCGATCCCACCAACATAAGCCTTCCTCATTCGTTCATTCAGCTGTAGAACTCTGATCATCGACCAGAACCAATACTCTCCTCATCTGATTTCATTTGTTGTCCGCCACCCGATTGATCAGTAGCGCGCAGCGGGTGATCCGGCAACCATGGAGGCAGCGGTAGCTCGCGCCGACACAGCAGCATTATTCTCGGGCCAGGAGGACGCCGCCGAGGGGAGCATGTCCAGCCTGCCGGCTCGGGTCGCTGGCTCGATCGTCCGCGGCGTCATCACCTTCATCTTCGCCACAGGTCGGTGGCATACATGCATGTTTCTTCTTGTTTTCATTTCACCAGACATGGCGGGGTGTTCGGCATCTCCATCGTGCGACTGTTCCTGATCGACTTGGTGTTGTTGCAGTGGGCACGATTCTGGGAGCCATCACGGGCGGCACGATCGGGCTGGCGACGGAGAGCGGCCTCGTCCGCGGCGCGGGCATCGGCGCCATCTCCGGCGCCGTGGTGGCCATGGAGGTTGTCGACAGGTCCATGGCCATGTGGCGCTCCGACGAGTGCGGCATCTGGAGCGTCCTATACGTGGTACGTGCCTGACTACACATACCAAACCTGCGCAACTGACTAGTGCGGCATCGATTCAGCGGTTCTAATTATCATCATTGTATTCACCTAATTGTTTAGTACCAGTAGTAATCATCAATTCGTTGTTAATTCATTTCAGCTTGACGTGATCTGGAGCCTCCTGACGGGCCGTCTGGTGCGCGAGAAGGTGGACCCCGCAGTGCAGAACGCCGTCGACAGCCAGATGAACGCCGCGGGCGACGGGTTCAGCGACGGCCCGCCGACGCTCTCCGAGATGTTTGACATGGGCTCCGCCTCCTTCAAAGGCATGGCCGCAGACGCCATCGCCGAGCTCCCCGCGACGACCATCACCGAGCAGCAGGCCGCCGTGCAGGACGGCGGCTGCTCCGTGTGCCTCCAGGAGTTCGAGGCCGGCGAGGCGGCACGGAGCCTGCCGGAGTGCCGCCACACGTTCCACATGTCGTGCATAGACGGGTGGCTGTGCCGGCATGCGTCGTGCCCGCTGTGCCGCCGCGCCGTCTAGGCCTGGCGTACCCGGCTCGTTAGGATCGATGTGTGCATAGCCAGCGTATATACACACGTGTTACGCGCGTGTGTGGGTGTGGCGCTAGCACGTACGGCACGCGCACGCACATACGGGAAGTTCGTTAATTTGTTATACGTAGTTAGCTAGTTGGGTTGAAGGCTGAGACTGACATGACATGACACTTATGCCGACAAGTTCTTTCGTGACTTGTTCGTTGCCTTCATTTCTGCGGAAATGATGATTGTATTGCTATACCACACGCGCTGCTGGTTGTGAATATATGTATAGAAAATCATCAGCATTCAGATTATTATCCTTTTTGTCATTTCTTGTTGCTTCTTCTTCCAAACTTGTGCCCTCCTCTTATATTTTTTGAACATAGTAAAAACGCTCGTACATACACACATACACTTACTCCTATGAACACACATGCATATTCTGTCCCTACGAGCATCTCCGAGAGATTGAGCCGACACATTATTTTGAGATCGACGAAGTCGCCACAGACGCCTTTATAGTCTACGGGAACGTTCCATCCCACTAAACACACATCGCCGAAAGCCTAAAATAAATACAAGAAATGCGAGCAGTAATGTCAAATCTAGAACTAAAGGCATGAATTATGGAGGCGAAAAAAGAACACGTAGACATGGAAAGATTGAGGCTATGCTCGCTCTAATGATGGCTATGGTGGTGCTACCTCACATCGGTCATCCTTTGTCTCCACGTGTTCACTCTTTTTCTTTTTCTCCCCATGTTTTTCCTCTCCCTCCTTACTTTCTTTTTCTTTTTCTACCAAAGAACAGGCCTTTCGCTATAAGCTTCACCTGGCGCATGCAGACAGCGGTTCTACTAGCACAGTGTCATCTGAACCTAGTTGGCTTATGGGGTAGTAGGTTTGGGGCTATGCTTTGGCCATGCCCCAAGCTCCTTCCAATTTGTGGCCTCTGATTTTTTTTTGGATCATGCAACTTTATTCAAGGATTTAGGTTAGCTGATCACATGGTGTTCCCCCACCAGACATGGCGGGTAAAACATAATGACCATGAGAATTTTGCTAATCTATCAGCTTTAAAGTTGTGACTTCTACTTTATGTGTGTATTGGCACACCTCAAGATCATCAACATGTTGGGTAATCTCTCGAACAATAGCAATTGAGGGGCCTTCTACCTTAACTTAGATGTCTTTGATTACTTCCAAACTGTCTAATGCAATGAATAGCTCGTGCAACATCAAATCATCAGCCAATGCCAAAACTTCTTGACATGCCAGGACATCCATAACCGTAGGATTTGTGATGTTCTTGAATGGTATCGATGACAAGCCCATGAACTTGCCTTGATCGTTGCGGCACATGACTCCCACAGCTCCCTTGCCACCATTCCTAGACACCGCACCATCAACAGTTAACTTTGCAAAAAGCCTCTGGAGGCGCTTTCCAAACAACATGTGATTGATTCAGAGCTCTAGGCTGAATTGATGGTGACTTGTTCTGTTGGCCGCTCTAAATGTCCTAGATGAAGTTTTCAACAAAAAGGTGTCTTGAAAGAGGCGTCTTGAACTCTCTTTCATGAGTTGCTTTGCGCCAAGAGTGTTAAATTTCCCATAATATGACTACCATGTGAATAAATCATCAAGTGACAATGTCTCCATCATCATAAACAACAAATGTTTGGTGTGTGGTTGTCTTGCCTCCATTATGTGTATAAATACTACTTCCTCTTTCAAGAGTTTACACACACACACACACACCTAGCCATTAAACACTCAAGGAGAGAATGTCTCTAAGAATCAAGGGATCCACATACGAGTATTTTGGAGAATCCATAGTACGACGGTGCTCCAAAAGATCAAAAGTGGCAAGAGACGATCTTGCTAATCTCCGTAAAAACACCCTAAGTTTGCTGGGACACCAGTTTTCTAGAGGGTCCATTCTTTATCTTCAACTCTATTGGAAGACGACCTCGATACTCTATTCCACAAGTTCTCCCTTGAAAGTTTGGTCCTAACTAACATGCAATAAGCAAATCGTATTGTAAAGATTCCCTTCTTTTCAGGGAAGAGTGAAGTAGAGAATCATCGTAACAAGAAAATAAATTTTCTTCGATCTGATCATGGAGGTGAATATCTGAGTTATGAGTTTGGTATGCATTTAAGACAATGTGTAATTTTCACAACTCACGCCACCTAGAACACCATGGTGTAAGGGTGTGTTGGAACGTCGTAATCGTACTCTATTGATATGGTGCATTCTATGATGTCTCTTACCGATTTGCCACTATCGTTTTTGGGTTATGCATTAGAGATAGTCGCATTCACTTTAAACAGGGCACCATCTAAATCTGTTGAGATGACACTGTATGAATTATGATTTGGCAAGAAACCTAAGTTGTCGTTTCGTAAAGTTTGGGGATGCAACACTTATGTCAAGAGGCTTCAACCTGATAAGCTTGAACCCAAAGCGGAGAAGTGCATCTTCATAGGATACCCTAAAGTGAACATTGGGTATACCTTGTATCACAGATCCGATGGCAAGATCTTTATTGCCAAGAATGGATCCTTTCTAGAGAAGGAGTTTCACTCAAAAGAAGTGTGTGGGAGGAAGATAGAGCTTGATGAGGTAATCGTACATTCTCTCAAATTGGAGAGTAGCGCATCACGGGAAATAGAAGTTGTCGTGATGCCTACACCAGCCAGAGAAGAAGCTAATGATGATGATTATGAAACTCCGAATCAAGCTACTACTAAGCTTCGTAGGTCGACCAGGACATGTATCGCCCCTGAATGGTGTGTTGATCCTGTCCTGGAAGTCATGTTGTTGGACAACGGTGAGCCTACGAATTATGAAGAAGTAATGGCGAGCCCGGATTCCTACAAATGTCTTGAGGCCATGAAATCCGAGATATGATCCATGTATGAAAACCAGGTATGGACTTTGATAGACTTACTTGATAAAAAGGCCATGGAGAACAAATGGATCTTTAAGAAGAAGACGGACGATGATGGTAATGTCACCGTCTATAAAGCTCGACTTGTCGCAAAGGGTTTTTGACAAGTTCAAGGGGCTTTCTATGATGAGACTTTCTCATCCGTAGCGATGCTAAAGTCTATCAGGATTATGTTAGAGATTGCTGCATTTTTTGATTATGAAATATGGTAGATGGACATCAAAACAACATTCCTTACTGGTTTCCTTAAGGAAGAGATGTATATTATGTATCTAGAAGGTTTTGTCGATCCTAAGGATGGTAATAAGGTATGCAAGCTCCGGCGATCCATTTATGGACTGGCGCAAGCATCTTGGAGTTGGAATATTCGCTTTGATGAGGTGATCAAAGTTTTTGGTTTTATCAAAGCTTATGGATAAGCTTGTATTTACAAGAAAGTGAGTGGGAGCTCTTTAGCATTTCTAATACTGCATGTAGATGACATATTATTGATTGGAAATTATATAGAATTTTGGAAAGCATAAAGGGTTATTTGAACAAGAGTTTTTCAACGAAAGACCTAGGTAAGACTGCTTACATATTGGGCATCAAGATTTATAGAGATAGATCAAGACGCCTGATAGGACTTTCACAGAGCACATACCTTGACAAGATTTTGAAGAAGTTCAAAATGAACCAGTCAAAGAAGGGGTTCTTGCCTGTGTTGCACGATGTGAAGTTGAGTAAGACTCAAAGCCCGACCATGGTATAATAAAGAGAAAGGATGAAAGTCGTCCCCGATGCCTCAACCACAGGCTCAGTAATGTATGCCATGTTGTGTACCAGACCTGATGTGTGCCTTGCCATAAGTCTGCTAGGTAGGTACTAGAGTGATACAGGAGTGAATCACTGGACAGCGGTCAAAAATATCCTTAAGTACCCAAAGAGGACTAAGGAAATGATTCTCGTTTATAGAGGTGACGAAGAGCTCATCGTAAAGGGTTATCAATGAAAGCTTTGACACTGATCCGGATGACTCAAAGTCTCAAAACAGGTACGTATTTATTTTGAATGGTGGAGCAGCCAGTTGGAGTAGCTCCAAGCCAAGCATGGTTGCGGCATCTATATGTGAGTTGGAATACATAGTTGCTTTGAAAGCGGCACATGGAGTCTGGATGAAGGAGTTCATATCCGATCTAGGAGTGGTACCTAGTGCATTGGATCCAATGACTATCTTATGTGACAACACCGGTGCCATTGCCATTGCCAAGGAACCAAGGTTTCACAAGAAGACCAAGCATATCAAACGCCGCTTCAACTCCGTTCGTAATTCTCTATTCTTAAATAGTTGCAACCCACTACCTATTTTTCCTCTCCACACAACTATGCCACATCATCAAGTCATGAATGTAGTGATAAGTTATAGATTGTGCACTAATCCATTCATGCAACCATGCCACCTCACCACTACCTAATTTTCCTCTTCATGCAACTATGCCACATGAAAGTGCGTTATATTGACTAGAGGGGGGTGAATAGGCAATTTTTACAAATTCGTCACTGAGGAATTTCAGGGTGAGGAAATTCCTAAGCAACGAACTACTTAGCAGCGGAATAAATACTCAGATGCAAGCATAATAGAGTAGTAGCACAGTCATCATGATGAAATGAAAACAAGCACAAAGTACAAGTAGCGTAAACACATGATAAGCAGGCTAAAGACAAAGTGACTGAAAAATTAGGATTGAGGAAATTGAGAAAGTCTTCGGTTAAAGTCTTCAAACAGTAACGATCAAGTACTTCTACACAGAAATGAGGAAATAAAAGGGTTAAGGAAATATAACCAGTAGCTTGGTGAAGACAGTGATTTGGTAGAGTGGTTCCAACTGTTGTGACAGTCGTACGTCTGGTTGGAGCGGCTAGGTATTTAAACCTGATGACACACAGTCCCGGACACACAGTCCTCAATGTATTCTCCTTGAGCTAAGGTCACACAGACCTCACCCAATCACTTGTGGTAAGTCTTCAGGTGAGTTCCAAACCTTCACAGACTCGGTCACTCGGCGACC